ATTTCTACCTCCACAATATCTTTCATTTGTGCTCCTTTCTCTTTCAAATCCTGCTACCACATCGATGAGAGCCTACTGTAATAGAGCCTGCTGGTTGGTCTCCCTGCCTCTAGCCTCTCCCCACTCCAGTCCACTCTCTACTCAGTTGTCAAAAGTTATCTTCCTGAAAGGCAGGTCTGACCATATCCCTCTTTATTAAATAAATTCTGGTGGCTCCCTATTAATGCCATTATCAAATAGAAAATACTGTCTGGTTTTCAAACCCTTTCATCTGGACCCCCATCCACATACTCTTGCCTGTCTTCCTTGCTGTTCATTGCATGAAACATTTGATGTTTTGACTAAGCATTTTCACTGGCTGTCCCCCGCTCCTGGAAATCTCTCCTTCTCCATATCAGCTTCCCTGGTTCCCCGGCCTTCCTCAAGCAGCTCAAGTCCAATGTTCTTGCAAGAAGCCTTTCCCACTCCTCCTTAATCTTAATACCTTCCCTCTGAGATTACCCCCCCCACACACACATTTATCCTGTATATATCTTGTTTGTACATGGTTGTTTGCATGTTGCCTTTCCCATCAGACTGTGAGGTAGCCGAGGGGAAGTACTGTCTTTTGCTTTTCTTTGCATCCCCAGGGCTTAGCACAATGTCTGGCAGGGAACAGAACATAATAAATGCTAGCTGACAGATTGACTATCCCCTCAAACTCTTGTGCTACATCTCACCTTCTTTTCTCAGCCAAAATCCTAGAAAAAGCTATCTACACTAGCTGCCTCCATTTCTTCTACTCTCATTCACTCTTCAACTTTTTGCAATTTAGCTTCTGCTGACCTCATCACTCAATTGAAACTGCTTGCTCTAAAGGTACCTGTGCTCTCTTGCTAAATCTCGATCTTTTCTCAGTGCTAATCCTTCTCAACCTGTCTGTTGCATTTGACAATGCTGACCATCCTCTCCAACTTGATACTCTTTCATCTGGATTTTCCTAACATTCTTTTCTTGGTTTTTCCCCTGCTTGTTTGACTGTTCCTTCTCATTTTCCCTTGCTGGTTCATCATCTATAGCACACTTCCTAACTGTGGGTGTTTCCCAAGATCCTGTCCTAGGTCCTCTTCTTTTTACCTCTAAATTCTCTCTCTGTAACCTCATCAATTCCCATGGGCGTAGCCATGGGAGATGGATTTTCCCACCTCTATGCAGATGACTCTCAGATCTACAGTCCCAGTATTTCTTCAGAGCTCTAGCATCAAATAATCAACTGCTCAATTGCCTACCAGACTTTTCAAATGCAACATCTTTACTTTTTTTTTTTAACCACTGATTGTCATTTCAAGAATCTCAACATCAGGAATGAAAATGTTTTGCAGGATAAGGAAAAGTAATTCCATGGCTCACTGAACAACATAAAAGAAAGGCTTATGAGGCTTACAGTACTTTTAAGATCATCATAGTCCTTATTTTAAAAAATGGACTTTAAACTTCCTAATTAGATTCTTTTTAATCAAAAATTGTTGAATTTATTGACATTTTAATATCAAAGCTGCCAAAATTAAGTAAACTATGAGACCCTGTTGCCTCCATCCAATCCTGTTATGCTTTGTGTGAAACAATTTGGTTGTTTTCAATGTGATGAGAATTGGGAAGTTGAGCAATAATATATATGTTTTTAAGTTCCTGCTTTGTCCTAGGCATTGGAATACAAAGTTGAAATATTTATATAGCCCCGTGAGCTTTTCATTTTTTTCTTCTAAACCTTCTTCTGTTCCAACCTTCCCAATTTCTATATAGCCATCTTTCCTGACTCCAGAATCATAACCCCAAATACTATCTTTACCTACTCATTTTTCCTCACTCCACATAATGAATCGCCAAATCTTGCAGTTTCTCCCTTCACAACATTTCTTATGTTTGATCCCTTTTCTCCATTCCCACAGCTACCACCTTGGCCCTCATTCCCCCTCGCCTACATTGTTATAACAGCCTCATTTCTCTCTGTCTTCAGGCTGTCAAAACTCCAGTCCAACAGTTAAAGCCCTATACAACCTGGTCCCAAACTCTTTCTAACCTAGTTGGACATTACTACTTCTCCTGTATTCTTGACTTCTACCCAAAAGGGCATTCCCTCTATTCCTCATACATGCCACTCCATCTCCCATTTCTGTGCTCCTGCATTAACTGTTTTCCATGCCTTGAATGTGCTCCCTTTCTTACCCCTGGCTCAAAAGCCTTCTCTTCAAGATGAAGCTTCAAAACCATCTTCTGCATGAAGCCTTTCCTATTTCCACCAACCGTCAATGCTCTCCTGCCCAAAGTGCTGTATATATTTTTAGACATACTTGTTTTCTCTCCTGCTAGAATGCAAACTCTGAACAAACTGGAATTGTTTCATTCTTTGTACTTGAGTTACCAGTATGTAGTAGTGCCTGACACATAGTAGGGGCCTAATAAATACTTGATGACTGGCTGGTTGATCTAGAATATCATCTTAAACTCATGAAGTCCCAAACTGATGATTTTCCTTCCAAAGTTTGCCCCCTCCTAATTTCCCATTTCTCTTCAAAACACCATCAGGCTCAAACACTTGAGTCATTCTTGACTGTCTCCTCCCATATCCAGTCAATCCAATCCTACTGATTCTAAGTGCAATATCCAGCACGTTTTTCCTTTCCCTTCCCTCAATTTTACATCAGGTCCTTGTCCTCAATCCCCTGGGTTACTCTAATAGCCTCTTACCTATTCCCTTATCTGAAGTTTCCATCTTTAACAACACTGCCAAGATCATCTAAGGCATAAATTTGATTAAGTCAAATCCTGTCCAAAAATTTATGGAAATACAAACCAGATCTATAATGATCTGTCTCAGACATAATTTTATAGCCTTGACTGAATTTCACTTCCCAGAAATTGAAGTTATTACTGTTTTTTCCCTTAGGCAGGTAGGTGGCTCAGTGGATAGAGCACTGGGCCTGGAGTCAGTAGATCTGGATTCAAATCTAGCTTCTGACACTTACTAGCTATGTGACCTTGGGCAAGTCACTTAGCCTCTCTACCTGCCTCAGTTTTCTCAACTACAAAATGGAGATAACAAAAGCACCTGCCTTTCAGGGTTATCCTGAAGGTCAAATCAGATATTTGCAAAGCTCCTAGCAGGCTCTTAATAAATGCTCTGCTTCCATTTGTTCCAGACAAAGATGACAAATGTGTGGATACTCCACACATTCTTGCCCCATTCTGGCTAAGATTTGAGATTAAGGTGGGTTAAATTATCTTTATGGTCCCCTCATGGCCTCCTAAAACCTATGATCCTGCTTCAACTTTATGACTTAGTTAAGGTGCCAGTTCCTATGTGACTGTGATTAGAAGAGATCCCTCTTTCCTTGCATCTCTAAGGTTTGTTTGACTTTTCCTAGATAATTATATGCTAACTTGCATCATAATAATTTATTTACTTATCTCATCCCCCTAGAGTTCGAAGTCCTTGCCCACAGGAACTATATAATATTTCAACTTTCTATTCCAGTGCCTAGAGCAGAAGTTAAGAGCACAATACATAAACACATTAATATCTTTGCTCAACTTCCCAATTCTCATCACTTTGGGAATATCCAAGTTACTTCACATAAAACATACAGGATTGGGTGGAGGCAGCTCTTCCCTAAGAGGAAACCAATTATGAAGCATAAGCCCCATTTTAAAAAATATGGACTATGACAATCATTTAAAGATCACCTAAGCCTTCAAAGTACTCTAAGCCTCAAATGTCTTTGTTTTACGTTATTCAGTCACCCTCCTTCTGTAAAACATTTTCCTTCCTGATGTGGAAATTCATGAAATGACGACCAAAGGTTGAAAATATAAACATGCTAAATTAGATAATCAACCTGCTAACCTGGCAGCTTTCCCTAGACCTTTCCTTCCTTCTCCCAACCTATAAGGAAACCAAGATATGAAGATCAAATGTAAGTTCAACGAGACCTTTCAGTTTCCTGTTAGAGTCTAAGTACAATTTCTTTCCCTTTCCCAGCCCCACGCTCCCCCCAGCACCACACAAGTAAAAAAATGCAAAACGCCAAAAACCCCAGCTGTCACCCCGGCCCGCATCCACACCCGAGGCTGCGGCTCAGCCGGCAGTGTAGAGCACTTACTGAGCTGTCCCCCGCCCGGCATCACACTCGGCTCCCGGCTTCCGACACCCCCCGCTCCGGCTGCCCCGAGGATCCCGGGGCCTCCCACCCCCGGCGGGGTCCCGCTCTGCCGCTCGAAGTTGCCGGGGTTGGAAAAGTAGTCGCGGAGGCGCGGCAGCTCCCGGCCGCTCTCCAGCAGCTCCGTGTGCAGCTCCAGGGCCGTCAGCAGGAACTGATCGCGCAGCAGCTGCGCCGCGATAGCGTCCACCGACAGGCGGGCGGGGGGCTCCCCCGTCGCGGCCGCCTCCCCCCCGGCGACCCCCAGCCGCCCTCCGCCCGCCCCGGCCACCGGCTCCTGCGGGGACAGCGAGCCTCCGGAGCCGGGATCGGGGCCACCTCCGGGACCCAGCCGCAGGCCAGGCCGCCGCTCCTCGTCGGCCGCCGCCGCCACCTCGTCGTCGTCGTCGTCCGAGTCGCTGAGAAAGGGGTTCACGCCGCCGCAGCCCCCTCCCGCAGACATCGCCGCCATCTTAATCTGTCAGGTGCTTCGGCTCCTCCCCGCCGGACGGTGACACACCACGCCTGGTGTTGCCGCGGGCCCGGAGGGGCCGCTCCGACCTGGGCCCGCCTCCGGACTAGCCGTCTGCGCCTCGGTTCCCCGCAGAGAGGCGGCAGCTACCGCGGCACAGGCAGCAACAACTGCTCCACAGCCCGGCTCCGCAGGCGTCTTCCTGGTCTCCACTCTCGCGGGAAGTGGGAGTTGTTCGCGTTCCCAGCCACCCCCGCTCTGGAGCGGAACGTCCCTCTCTCCCGCCCCCCACGCCCCGAGGCCCCGCCCCCTCTTCAGCTGGATAGGCCCTAGGAGGAGGGAAAGTGCTGGGGATCAGCGCTCTCGGTATCGCGAGAACCTCCAGCAGCCGGTAAGTCCCGACCCTGGCGCGGCTGTAAGCGGCGCGGGGGGCGCGGTGCCTCGGAGGATCCCTTACGGGCAGTCACGGGGATAGGGATGGCACCCCCTGGGGGCTTCGGTCCTTTGCCTTTAACGCTGAGTGACTGCGTGGGCGTTTCCTCACGTGTGAACCACGGCAGAGCCCCGCTTCCGGGAGGTTCTGGGGCGCTCCGAGCCCGCGGATGGAGGGATTGGGGGGCGGTGAGGGGGAGGTCTGGGGGAGGGCAGTGTCTCCTTCCTCCCTCCCTCCTTCCCCGGCAGGTTTGGACTCTTGCGGGTCAGCGGGTGCCAAGCCTGGCTATCCCAGCTTGTCCGGGCGCCTCTAGGTGCGAGAGCCGGCGGGTGCCACACTTATCCTTGTCACCCCAGGCCAGGGCTTTAAACTTCTGAATTTAAATATATGTGTGTATGCCATTTCTCAGAATGTTTTAAAGGTTACAAAACTCATAGGATTACTGTATTGAAATAGTTTTATATGTATTTATTTTATATGTTTAAATTTATGTACATAAAATTTAAATATGTAGATATATAAAACAAACTATTTCAATATAGTGTTTCCTATATAATCATATGGAAATTGTGTATTTAATATATGATACAATTCTATATAAATTTCCTATATGATTTCAATAAGAAATCAATGAGAAATGGTCCATTTATTTGTCAGTTGTATCCAACTCACTGCCATTTGAGATTTTCTTGGCAGAGATACTGCAGTGGTTTGCAGTTTCCTTCCCCAGCTCATTTTACAGATGAGGAAACTGAGGCAAACAGGATTAAGTGACTTGCCCAGGGTCACACAGCTAGTAATTGTCTGAGGCTGGATTTGAGGAAGATGAGTCTTCCTGATTCCAAACCCAGTGTTCTAAGCTACCCCAAAGTGGTCCATAGCCATGACCAGAATGCAAGAGAAGTCCATGACCCAAAAAAAGGTTAAAAACTTCTGCCATAGTGAGGGTCCCAGGAAAGGAAGGAAGCTAAACCCAAACTAAGGGGTTTATGTGGGATGAGTGGCATGAACTAAGTGTTCTCTTTTCCATTCTGTGACTGTTTCTGGAATCACCATCTATCTCCCAGGGTTGCTCCGAGGATCATTTGAGATAATGATTGTAAAGTGCTTAGCACAGTGCCTACTACATAGTAAGCGATACATATATATATATATGTCAGCTATTATGATTATTAAATTTCAGCCATGCAGTTCCTTCGTAACAGTGGGAAAATAAACTATGACAAAGTATTCCTCTGTAAACTGCAGACTCAAAGGGTCATAGGGTCATAGATTTAGAGCTGGAAGGAAGCATAGAGGCCTGTTAATCTAACTGGCTCGTTTTATATTGAGGAAACTTCTCAAAATCACATAATAAATAGCAGAGCCAGGATTCAAATACAATCCCTCTGACTCAAAATTTCACACACTTTCTACTATACCACAATGCCTAGCCTGCCACTATCACTTTATAGCTGAGATAACTGAGACTCAAAGTTGCCAAATCCTGGAGTTTCTTAGAGACTGAGTTTCAGTGTTTGAATCTAGGCCCCTTGTTCTCATTATCCTCCTTCAGCCATATACTCTAGCCAAACTAGTTGTAGTGCTCCTTGTAATGCAGTCCATCTCCTTGTGGGTTCTCCTTCCTCACCTCCACTTTTTAGAATTCCTAGTTAGATTAAATTAGATAAAACATTTATCTAAGGATCAGACACTGTGATAATCTGTAAGAATACAAATTCAAGGAAAAATAAGTTTTCCTTCAAGGCTTAATTCCTGAAGCCTTTTCTAATTTACCCCAGCTGCTATGTGTGTGTGTTATCTTCCCCCACCTATATTTGTAAGTTTCTTGAGGGTAGAGGCTGTTTCATCCTTATCTCCTAGCAGAATTCTTGGCATTATGTAGGCAGTTAACATGCTTGTTGATTGATTGATAGGGCTTCCAACTTCTAGGGAAGGGTTCCTTTTACTGTGTTATAGTGATATAGCAATGTCCACTTCCAAGTGTCCAGTTTTTTTTTTATCACTGGGCATACATGTACCTAGAAGTGGTCAGAGTGCAGGCATATACATCCTCTGCATATGTTCCATGGGAGGCCTGGGCCCTGACCACTTAATAGGACACATTTAGTAAGCACTAAAGGACTTGGTACTTTGGGATGACCATTGTCAACTGGAAATAAAGGATATGATGCCTATACAGATGTGTGAGTGCATGCATGCAAAGTACTTCATACACCATAACTGCTATGGAGGGTTTCTGTACCATCTGACCATCATCAGTCATCCCTTTTCATGGCAGTGATGCCACACAACACAAGTTGAAGCATAGAGAAAATGAAATGATTTGGACATGGTCATAGAGCAATTCACTTCTTGCCTAAGAGCAGACCTTGGAGAGCAATTTGATGATCTGGTACTAAGGTCAGTGAGCCAAACTGCCTCTCTCTAGTAACACATTAATTCTCATAGCACCTCTAGAAGGAGTGCTACATATAAAACATTGTTAAATGTAACCTAATATTTCCTGATTCTTCTATGTACTCAGTTAATTGTCACATTACATTGAAACTTTTTACTCCCTAGTAATATTAGGAATTCAGTGGAAGTTATTAACTGCTAATTTTTAAAGCTGATTTCCCCCCCCCCCATACTATGTATCTCTTTCTACAACACATCCAGAAGAGTTTTCTTTAAAGATGATTAGTTATTCCTAATCTGGAAGTGGAAATAGGGGAAAGATTTTAGAGAACTGTAGGAGGTCGAGGAGGTCAGGGACCTAATAGTTAAGTATCCAGCCAAAAGTATTTTTTTCCCCAAAGTTACCAATAATCTCTTTTAAATTTTTTTTATTTTCTCCTAATTACATGCTAAAACAATTTTTTTTAAGTTTTGAGTTCCAAATTCTCTCTCTTCCTTCCTCCTTCCCCTCTCCTCGAGGCAGTAAGCAATCTCATAGAGGTTATACATGTACAATCATATAAAACATTTCCATATTAAGTCATTTTGTACAAAAGGACTTGAACAACAAAAAAGAGCAAAAGTCGGGAAGAAAGAAAAAAGAGAAAGAAGCAAAGTAGTATGCTTCAGTCTGTATTCAGACAATATTGGTTCTTTCTCTGGAGGTAAATAGCATGTCCTTTGGGATTGTCTTGGATCATTGTAATGCTGAGAATAGCTAAGTCATTCACATTCTTCATGATACCATATTGCTATTACTGTGTACAACATTCTCCTGGTTCTTCTCACTTCACTTTGCATCAGGTCATGTAAGTCTTTCCAGGTTTTTCTCAAATGATCCTGCTTGTCATTTCTTATAGCACAATAATATTCCATCACAATCATACACCACAACTTGTTCAGCCATTCCCCCATTGGTAGGGCATCCCTTTGATTTCCAGTTTTAGCCACCACAGAAAGACCTGTTATAAATTTTTTGTACAAATAGATCCCTTTCCCTTTTTTAAAAAAATCTCTTTGACATACAGACCTAGCAGTCAGCTAAAAATATTTTAAAGAAAAATTAGTTGTGTATTAATTCAGTGTGCCTCTTACTGTATAACTAGTTGGTGCTTCTTTGTATGCAAGGCAAAAACTCAAACAACTGACATGGTAGGCAACAAAAGAGTGCCATTATACTTTATGCTTTGGGGACTGAAGAGTAGTTTGAAAAAGGTGTGTCTGCAACTGGTTTGTTGACAGAAAAAGGCAGCCAGCTGAGTTAAAGATTTCTAAGACTATTTCAGTTAAGATCTTTTTTAAGGGAGGCCTATCAAGTAGGAGGATTACTACTGATTAATGAAGTCCCTTCCTAGGATGTTTTGTTGGAAAGGGACTGTAGAGGCCACTTGGTCTAACCCTTCCCCATTTAACAGGAATAGCTAAGACTCAGAGAGGTTAGTGAATGCTGTAAGGTCACACTGGTAATAATTGGCAGAGCCAGGATCTGAATGAAGGTCCACTCATGTCAGATCCCAAAGTCTTTCCATTTTACCACTCTGCCTGCAGTCATGAGAATACCAGAAAATGACTTTAAGGCCTCAGATGCAGAGAGAATATTAAAAATGCATTTGCTAAGCTGGTTGAAAATAAAATCAATTTATTATCTTCCAAAGAAGTGTCTAAAAGTTCTTTCCCAGTAACTTAGCTTCCTATGTGTGTCTGCAGGTTTATAATTCCATTTAAATTAACTGCTCTGCTACATTATAGCTATATGAAGGTCCAATTAAAGAAGAACATCATACTTTTTTAGCTTCTGTAGCTAGAGAATGATAATGATGACCACAATGGTGATGATAATGCTAAATAACTACCATTTATACGTTAATTAAGATTTGCGAGGTATTTTACATATATTATCTCATTCCATCCTCATAATAGCCCTATGATGTGGATGCTATTTTATAGATGAGAAAACTGAGTCAAAGAAGTTAAGTGACATGCTTGGGATCATAATTCTAGTAAAGCAGGATTAAAACTCAGGATCGTCCTGACATCCAGTCCAATGGTTATATAAACATTACCTATATAAACATCTGGCTGTAGTCAACATTAATTAATCGATCCTTGAAGAAGCCAGACTTATTAATAATAAGTAGAAGTTATGCTTAGTGACTGGTGATCTGCAATATCTTTAATCTATTAATTATTAAGCCTTAACTTTTTTCTTTTTCTTTATTCTAATATTAACCAGGGCTTTAAGAGCTAATTTTTTTTTTAGGGGGAAGGGCAGTACTTAGAAAGATTATCCGTGGGTGGTGAGTAAGGCATTTATGCCTTTGATAACCAAAGAAAAAGTAAAAACACTATTCAGTGTTTTCCCAAAATGAGTGGTCATGGCTTTTGCAAACAACAGTATTATTTAAATTTATATATATTATCTGTAATAATTTGTACAGAAATCTCACGTTTCCTCCTAGCCATCATTTAGCTATCCCTTTTTCCCTTTATCACTCCCCCTTAGAAGAATTACAGAGTGA